ATGTTATGATTATAGGAAAAGTAAATGTCGGCATTTTAAAATGTTAAATAACATAGAATCCTAGGAGCATAATGTTTATCTTGGCAAAATCAAATTTAACGCCAAGTAACCTAGAAATAATAGTTATTCTTTGCAAATCATATATATACAACCAACAATCAAACAATCAAAGTGTATATAAAAGAAATAAAGAAAATGTGCAAGTAATAAGTGCAACTTAATATACAACTCACGATTTATAGGAAAGTAAAAATGGTCAAGCTCCACCAACAACAGGCTTAAGTTTATACTCCTAAATTGATGCAAGTTTATACAAAATGAGTTATTTATTCATACTTTCTTTAGGTTTGCCAGGCTATGATTCTCCTTCGAAGGAATCCTAAAAGAAAACATCTTCAAAGAAGATTTATTCTTATAGGCTTCTATATTTTATAATAAACAACTTTATTTATGATTTTCACAACTCTATACATTTGCAACTCTTTTTTTTTAGAAGAAATGCATAATGCATATAAGGAAAAACCTAGATACAAACTACTCAATCAAAGGCACTCTATCGCATTCCTCCTTCAACAAAGCAACAAAGGAAGAAGGAATATTATTCTCACTAATAACATCCCAATAAAAATTAAACTCGCAAGCTAAGTTAGCACAATAATTTGCTAACTTTTTACATTGTCGATTAACAAAATTAAAAAACACCTTATTGAAATTCTTCATGAATAATAGGTCTTCATCTATTTGTACTCCCATCATCTTTTCCGGTATGCTATACAACTTGTAGAGAAAGTTGATGACATTTTGATTATCTCCTTCTCTGAGTATGACATTTGCATCAAACATCCAATTTTGAATAAAACTCCTCAAAGATTTAAAATCCAATAGCTCCAATTGTGCACTATCCTAATGGACATAACCACAACCAAAGGCCATAAAAAATCTACCTTTACAATCTCTAACCACTCAACCAATTCCAACTTTGTTTAATTTACATAGGGATTCATCAATGTTTTTTTTGAACCATTTGAGAGGAGGGTGACAAAAATTGAACAGTCCCAAAGATTGATTAGTACCCTAGTTACCCAAAATGATTTTTTCTTTATGTAGAATTGCCATAAAACTTATGACTCTAGCCGCAATAACAGCACCGCTTTCTTCCACATCACCATGCTTCACTCTATTTCTATTATTCCATGAATGTAGTAGCAAAGTTAGATACATCTTAGCCATGAAAGGATTCTTTACCGAAATCAATTTCAGATTCCTCATACAGTCTAAGAAACAGCTTAAAATCCGCACCATGAATCCCCATGTATTCAGCAAACTTATTACCTACAGTAGTTTCGGACTTGTACCTGTACAATGATCAATATTTTCCACCTCAAGGCAACCTCTTGGATAAAGATTTGAATAAGAAAGCCTTATATAAAAAAGAAAATTTGCAGGAATTGCATTCCTGCATAACCTCCAAATAAACAATTCAACCCGGGGATTGAGTTTAAGCTTGTACAACAATGGATCAAACTCTTCCTGCGTATTTTGAATGTACTGAGCTGCTGAAGACAATGCTGATATGGATTTTCCAGACAATTTAAACTTGTGCTCCATCCTATCTTCCTCCAATTTATGAAGTATATCAATTTTGCTATCAAGTTCACAAGCTCGTCTCCAAAGAATAGATAAAGTTTAGGGACGTTCCAAGATCCATTAACCATAAGAGATTCTAGAGTGACATCATGTTCATCCCAATTAGTAACAAACGTAGGCCATTTCTCTAAATTTTTATCAAGAATCCAGACATCCTTCCAGATATCAATCAAAGAACCTGTGGCAATATTCCACCTTAAGATTCCTTTAAGAGAATTCCACCCATCAATTATAATCCTCCATGTAGCCGAAGAACTCTTTTTCCCATCACTCATCCACCAACAATTCCCATATTTAGCCATAATGTTCCTATTAAGCAAAGAAGTTAGATTGTTTAAAAGATTCCAAGCTAATCTTGCTCTTAGATGCCCCACTTTAGACTCACTTGAAAAAGGCCCAATCCTCTATACTCCTTTGGTTTGCACAAGACATTTCAAGCGAAGAAATGAAGCCCATGAGAACCATCATGTTTATTTCAAATATAATTCCTACAAATCATATCGAACTATTTCAAAATACTCAAGCGAACCAAAGAATGAGAAGATAGAAATAAAGGGAGGGTAAGAAAGACTGTCTTCATCAAGGTTACCCTTCTAGTAAGTGAGATGAATCTGTTTCCCCATGCTTGAGTCTCTTAGAAGCTTTATCCAAAAGATTATGAAAATCAAATTTCTTAAACCTTTGCTACGGGAAAACACAGGATTACTGTCGGAGCTTCTGGCGGATATATATCCGTTGGTAATGACACCGTTGTTAACAGCATATGGTGCGACAGAATTATAACGGCATTCTTTCTGGCAGATTAGTCGTCGGTAGTTTCCTTACGCACGATACGCCGATTGTAACGTCATATTATATAAGCATATCATCCAAAGCGGTGTATTTTACGCTAGAAAATACTGATGGAGTTACTGGAGGAGTAGACGGCTGTCATTTTAAACTCAACGAATTATTACCGTCATACAAATTGCCAGAAATCTTCCCGACATATAATGCACCGAAAAATCCGCCAGCGAAACCCCTATTTCCAAACCCGAGCCCGTCTGGCTATTCATTTCCTTCCGCCATTTGTTTGAAATCTCCGCTCTGCTTCGTCTCCTTAGTATTGCCCCACTGTAGATCATCGCTGCAAATGCTTCAGGACATCCACGAGAGGTCACCGACAATCACCGTCTCCATCACCGGTGAAAGGACACAGTTTTCTGGAAAATCCAACATTAGTGTATATTGGTTATAATTAACATTCATTCTACCAAGTTCCACTAAACCCTCACCCTCAACCATGTATCAAATCTTCTAACATTTAAATAAACAATAATAAAAAATTTATGTCCTCCATTAATGCCACAAAAAATGCTTTCCACCACCATTAATAAACAAAAGTATAACATATTTGTATAAAAGAAACCACACATTAAATATATGGAGGGTGCATGAAAATTGAATTTAACCACTAACAAACTCAAAAGAAGAAGACAAAACTTCTTCTTTATCATTTATAAATAAATAGTTAGTTATATCACTAATAAAAGTAGGAGGTCTTCAAAAAATAATAAGTGAAGTAAAGCTATTAAATGATATGTAAACTAAAAGAATGTTATAGTTGAAAAAGAACTTCTACCACTAGTATTCCCTGATGTTATTGATAACAACAACTATATATCTTGTTAGTATAAGATGAGGATACAAATACATTAAATGCTAAGGGCTTGATAAAAGGGAATGACCTTGATCATAGATGGTTGACAAAACCTTAGTGAAACTAGAAAAGGAGATATGCACTATAGAGGCATTGGTGATAAAGATGAAAATGGAAAGAAGTTTCAAAGAAAGAGAGAACCTGGACTAAGTCAAACCTTTAAGGATCCTAGTATTGAAATATTAAGATTAGGTTAATGAATATAAATATGTTGCATGGCCTGGATAGTTTAATCAATATGGTTAGTTCATCTCACTAGATCATCTCGATCTATTGACAAGTTGAACCTAATAGGTTTATGAAATTTATAATATTAATCCAATAAGAGTAGAGTTCATTGGGTTTGTTTGAACTAATAATATTATCATTATTTTATATAAGGAATATATATATATATACAAAAGTGTAGGATAAAATATATTGATATTTAATGTACTATAGGCTAAAAAGTGATAAATATTAGTTAAGAATTAAAGTTTTCAATGTGAATTTTGGGTTACCATCACCATTTAAAAAAAAAAAATTCACCACTACCACTCCTTGTAAATACCTTTCAAAAGTCCCTTTACAACCAAATATATATATATATATATATATATATATTAAGGGGGACAATAACATATATATAATTCTCATGAGATTCTATTGAAATTAATATAATGAATTAATTTAAAATTTATTCGAAGCATTTCTCATCTGATAGAGGCTTGATGGTAAACCTTAAGGTTTAGCTTTACTACGCTGTTCAACTTGACTTGGCTGCCCAACTTCCTCACACATAGAACTTATCAAATGAGTAGCCCGTTAACTCACCTCATTCGAAGTTACACAATGATGATTGTGAATTATGTTGATGTGCACTTATTACCTTGAAAGTCAAATAAAAAAATTTAAAAATCTCAAAATTTTATTAATTCTCTTGTACTTTTTCCTTTTTATAAATCATTCATTTTAAAATGCTTGTCAAGAAAAAGAGTTTATCTTCCTAAAAAGGTTAGATATTATTTCTAATTTTCAGTAGTTGCATTCAAGTTGAGCTTTTTTTAATTACTAATGCCAACTCGGGCATTATATATTTCCTTAAAATTTAATCAAGTTCTGAGATCATTGATAATGATGTGTTATATTAAGATCAATGATTTCAGACCAGGCCCATAAACATGTTATCATTATTAAGCCATCACGGGTGGTCAAAATTGTTTTATTTTAAGCGAATTGGCAAGACAAGATTAGAAGAAACAACATCATATTAAAATGTAATTATCAAAAGATAAGATCTTTGCCATATTTTGATAATTACAAAGCATATTCATGATAGATAATATGAAATCTTTCATTAAGTAAATAAAAAAAGGGGTTTAGCCTGCTCATTTCATAAGTAGTATTGTACACTATTTATTAATCGAATGCTGCATACAATGATAGAGATCATGATGTTTGTTGTCATTAAATAAAAGAATTTACCAAACACAACAAGAAATACATTTAATTCTATGTCGATGGTGCTTGAATTATAGGCTAGCATTCCAATAAATCTTATTTAGGCCAACCTTCCCACAAAGTGAATACTGCATATATTAGATGTTTAAGACGTGGTGCTTATATATGGAAGTCTTTATAAATAATAAGATAAGTAGTAAAGTATCTAAGTAATTTATATAGCTAGCGGAACCAAATAAAGCTTTTCTTTTCTCGGAGTAGTTAATCCGGCACCATCTTCCATGTCCATACCATCACAGGAAATGCCGCTCGGTAGTTTCCAATTGAAGCGATACACAAGATTTGCTAAAGCAAGCTCAATAATTGAAATTGCAAACTGTATTCCTGGACAAATTCTGCGACTAGCACCAAATGGAATGTAGTGAAAATCATTACCTTTGTAGTCCACATCGTCACCTAAGAATCTCTCTGGCTTAAACTCTTGTGGATCTTTCCAATAATCTTCGTCTCTTCCAATGGCCCATGCATTGATGAGGACCCTAGTCTTCTTAGGAATGTTATATTCTTGTATTTGACAATCTTGCAATGAGACTCGAGGGAGAAGTAATGAAGCAGGTGGATGCAACCGAAGAACTTCCTTTATAACAGCCTTCATGTAGCTCAATTTGCCCAAGTACTCCTCCCTGACTATTTCCTCTCCATGAGCTATTCGCCGCACTTCACTTTGCACCTTTTCCATCACCATTGGATTTCGAATGAGTTCAACCATGCACCAATCTAGAAGAGCAAGGGATGTCTCGGTTCCAGCAACAATCATATCCTTTAAAGAACAAAGGGATGCCACTACGTTAGTTTGCCATAAGATGCAAGCCAGAAAAAAAAAAACAAAATTAAGAATAACATAAAATACCTATATTGTTTGAGAATCTTGAATTAATATATGTGGTATTTACTTTTCTCAGTTTTACGGAACCGGAATGCAGGAATTGTGTTAATTAGCTAAATTTTCTCGTACTAATAGTTGATAAAAAGGATGAAAGAAAATATCCAATGACAAATTGTTATGCAGAAAAAAAGTCCAGGATTTTTGGAAAGCTGAAAATAGCTGCAACCTTCTTTTGATAACCAATTGTTATGTAGAAAAATGTTCTGAATTTTTTAACAGCAGCAGTTGTTGTATTCATAAAAGAGCTTGTTTGAAATAAATACCAATAAAAGTGCCTTAATCTTCTCATTTGTGAGTACCAACGGCATGCTTGGATCTTTCTGCAACTGAAGCAGGACATCAATGAAATAAGTACTGCCTTCCGCCAATTGGGAAACATGTTCCTCAACAAACTCTCCAAGAAGAGCATCCCATTTCTTAGAATGCCTTATAAGTTCCCTTTCCAATCCAAAGAGCACATCAAGCCACCTTAACTGCGGAAAGTAGTCCTCCAGGAAAAATTTACCAAAGAAAATAGAGTTCATACGAATAAGTTCGCAAAGAAGCTTCCTTCTCTCTTCACTCAACGATGATCCCAAAACAGATTTACATAAAACGTCTCTTGTCAATTTATTCAGGATCTCAGACACGCACACAACACCATTGTTAGCTGAAGCCATGCGAGAAATTCTTTCGATCATCAATGATACCTCCTCCATTCGCATTAAACTAAATGACTGTATCATTTTTATGCTGAGGAGGTTGGTAACACAGATCTTCCTGGTCTGTCTCCAATACTCTCCGTAAGGGGCTAAGCCCATATCATTGTTGTTGTAGAGCAAAATCCTTGATGCCTTAAGTGAAGGCCAGCTTGCAAATACTAGATCATGAGTTCTCATGATCTCTCGAGTAGTAGAAGGTGATGAGACAACAAGAGTGGGTATGCTGCCAAGTTGTAGAAGCATGAGGGGTCCATGCTTCTTTGAAAGTTCGAAGAGCGATCGATGGGGTAACAAGATGATTTGGTGCAAATTACCTATAAAAGGAAGCCCAGGCGGTGAAGGAATAAGCGGTATCTTCTTTGAGATTGATTTCCGTTTACTTCTGCCTGCCAGCAGGACGAACATAGTAATCAGGAGAAGCGCTACAAGCAGCGTTGGACCCATTATGAGCATGTCTAGCATAAAGGGATGATAATGTAAGTTCAAGAAGAAGTTCAGTACAGTTTTAAACCAGAAAAATATATCCTATTTTGGCCAGGGAAGTCAAAAATCATGAGCCACCGTATTTTCGTCCCGTGTTCCTTACGCAATGCATAAAATTTGATGAAAATTCACCAAATTTGTTTAACTTATATGGAAACAAATGACTGATTTTAGAAAAAAGTTTTCCAGTCCAGTTGTTGCCAATTGATTATGCGGACTTTTTTTTTTGATAAATTTAGGCAAAGCAAACTTTCATTTTACTCTAAGGAAATAATTTCAATAAATTTAAAAAAATTAAAATTACAACTCAATAATGAGACGTAGAAATAAAACCTAGTTGCCACAAAAAATTAGTATTGCTCGAAATAAAAATAATGAGACAAATGACAAATGGAGAAAAATTTAAATGTGAAATCAGAATAATAGATGTTATATAATAAGCCAATGGACAAATTTCCAGCCGTTGATTATGTCCATGTGACCATTTGGACATAGTTGATTGTAAAATTTAAAGCATCTTCATGCTCCATTAGGATTTATGATGGCACTTGCCCAAGTCCATCACCACAATTTATATGCTCCTCAACTCCCAAAACTTTTCTCCATTTCGTTTGGTTATGTCAAAGCTTAGTCCCCAACTAGCATGGATAGCTCGAACTTTTCCATTCTCTTCTCCTCATCCCCATCTATCATGGGCTCGTGACACATACTTCCCCATTTGCTACCCTCTTGCTGACAATAAATTGGAAAGGGCTCATTGCAACACACTTTCTCAACTCATCTTCCTTCTCCCTAACCTACATCACATCCATGATAACATGGTTCCTTTTTCAGAAGAAGAAGTGGACAAAGGGGCAAAACAATAGATGCTAGTTTCAGTGGGATATGCAATTAGTAGAAGTCCATTTTATGTAAGTTTATATTCAACTATAGTTTATAAAATAAAAATAAATATAAATAAAACTTGTCTACAAATACAATCCTAGAGACTTTTCTTATATTTAAGAGAACTAAATTAGATTTTTTTACAAGGGTTCTAAATTCTCCATAAAAGCAAGCCTCCATAGTTAATTACATATCTCAAGATAAAATGTTAAGAGAACATTAGATTAAATTGGTGGCTAAACATTTTTTTGATTTACAATGATGCTGACAAGGATTTGAAATCATGATTTATCAATAGGGTTGATCAAAAATGAAAAGTTAATATACATGTTATGATTGTAGGAAAAGTAAATGTTGGCATCTTAAAATGATAAATACCATAAAATTCTAGAAACTTAATGTTTATCTTGGAAAATTAAGATTTAACGCCAAGTAACCAAGAAAAAACACATATTCTTCTTTGCAAATCATATATATGCAACCAACAATCAAACAATCAATGTGTATATAAAAGAAATAATGAAAATATCGATGTGATAAGTGCAACTTAATATACAACCCAAAATTTATAGGAAAGCGAAATATGACCAAGCTCCACGAAGAACAAGCTCGAATTTATACACCAAAATTGATGCAAGATTATACAAATTAAAGTTATTTTTTATCCCTTTTTTTGGTTAAAACCCACCGACGAGCTTACGTGTTAATATCAGAAAAAGGTACAAGGTTCTTAAAGGGACCTCCAGTTCACTACTGCTCCGAAGAGCTACAAACAAAATAAAAAAGAAAACTAAGAGCCGGAGTTCCCTTCTAATCCAAGTTACAAAAGACCCTAATAACATTCTACGAACAAAAAGGAAAAGGGGAGTATAAAGCACCTTCAGCATAGCCCTTTCAACCACAAACGTATCCTGCACAAAATGAGTGCGAAGCTCTAAAAACCTACAAAAAAGGCCTGCAAGGATACTGAACCAAAAATTAAATAACCAAAAGTAGACTAAAGTTGAATAGAAAAAGTTAGGATGATGGGTTAAACTCCCTAGATGAATAAACTTCAGCTTGTTTTTATGCAAAATGATAAGATAGCCTTTGTTAATCCCATAAATACTAGCCATGTTGAACAATAGACAATTGATACCTAAATACTGGTCCCGCCAATCCATCCAATACCACAAATCATAGTTAACACAGTCACATAGAACACCATTCCAGCCATTCCAAGGTTTACCCTCGTTAAGAATATGCAAATAAAGCAAAGAGGTGTTAATCATCTCCAGATTCAACCCCAAGTACTAGACAGAACTATGCTCACCATTAACCATAAAATGAGAGACATAAATCCAGCATAGAGCATAGATAAACATAGTTCTATCCAAGCCAACAGCATCAACAACAACATCCCTATTAGGAGCAGCCACGGTATTAATCAGAATGCAGGGAATGAAGCCCAAAAAACCCCATAAATGGTTGCACTTTAAAGTAAAAAACCACCTGCACCCACATAAAAGAGCACGACCGTCCAGCGCAAAAGTCCCAGCCAAAACATATAAAAAATTTAAGATACTCCATAACTTGTCCCAAATATACCTAGCGAGAACGAGTAGGGGTAACGTGAGGAAAAACCCAGTAAATAAATTCATCCTACCAAAATCAATAAACTCTGAAATAGAGCACTTGCCAAGCCGAATTAAAACATTATAAGCTATGTCAACAAAAGTTGACATAATGAAACTGGTAAGATCCAAACCTTCAGCCACCACACCAGAGAAAACAACAAGAACCGCCCAGCTAACAGAAAAAGCATCCATAAAAGGGAACATAGAAAAATACAAAGCAATAGAGTAAACAGCAAAGGATAAAGAACAATAAAAACCAGCAAAAAACAAAAACAACCCCATTAATAAAATCGAATATAAGGTAGACCCAACCGATCCAGTCTAAAAAGCCCCTTGATTTCCCTGGGAAGCGAATACTCATAGAAATCGATGAATCCAGACAAAGAACAACCCGTTTTAGCTAAGCCATCAGCCACCGCACTACCCTCACGCATAATATGGGAAATAGACTAACTGATAAGAGAAAGACAATGCTTAATATCTCTAATCTTATAGAAATTAAAGGTTAGGAGATGATTTAACTTTAATATAATGAATTAATAGTATAGCATCAACTTCAAACCAAATTTTGGAAATGCCAAGAGAGAGACATACTTGAACACCATAAAGAAGGCTATCAATTTCAGCTTGGATAGCATTAATACCAGATGATGGACCCGCATAAGCCGCAATAACCTTACCACTATAATCCTGAATAATGCCACCATAGCCCGCACTAACATTATTACTAGAACTATCCATATTAAGTTTGTAGCAACCAATCACAGGCAACCTCCAATGAATCAGCTTATCTTTACTGATGGTGAGATGAGGGGTGAACTTCAAGCCAAACTCACGAGCAACGTGAATGCAGTTCTTGAAAGATTCAGCTTTAATTAAATTAGCACCATATAGTTGAATAATCTTATTTTTCACTTTAGCAATGACATTTAAAACATTCATCACCATATTATCATGTTTAGAAGCATTCCGACTATCCCATAAATACCAACAGATAATAATAGGGATAATATTTCTAATGTGACCTTTGGTAGGAATCAACCAATCTTTAAGAAGATAAGTAATCGATTCATAGCGAGTAGTAGAAAGGACATTAAATATGTTGTCAAAGTGAATCCACACTTTAGTAGCAATCGGGCCATTGATAAACACATGGTTCAAATTCTCAATATGATAGCAACATTGACATTTAGAAATAATATACAAACCTTTTTTCACCAATAGAGAATCAATAGGTAAACAATTGTGTAAATTTCTCCAAAGAAGAAAGGAGTAAGTAGGAGGTATACTAGCATGCCAAATAGAGCCATAAAGATAGTTTTTAGGCAAATTCTGTCTAATAGAATTCCAAACTTGTTTAGTGTCAAAACTACCATCATTAGAACGATTAAATAAAATACAATCCTCATTCTCCCTGTGAATGGAGATCTTAGTGATTAAGTTAATAATAGAGTCCGGAAAAATCTTGGCAAGCAAACTAACATTCCAACCGTTATTGATAATAAAATCCTTAACTTTCCAAGTAGAAGTAGAATGAGTATATAAGAGATTATCAATAGAAAAATTATCCAACCACTTATCTTGCCAAAAAAAAAATGTTCCCCACACCCATCCCCCATTGAATGAACTCTTCGGCTTCCCACTTGATACTACAAAGCCTCTTCCAATTAAAAGAGTCCCCTTGTTTACAGAAACAATTTAAAGGGTGTTTCCCAACACAGTATTTAGCAGCCATAAATTTAGCCCATAAACTTTTATTTGCTCTGAAAGCAAACTAAAGTTTATGATTAAAAGTCTTAATCATATCAGTAAAGGTATGAAACCTAAGTCTGCCCTCATCCATAGTCCCAGCATAATTACTCCAAGATCCCCAAATGATAGAATGATTACCATCTTTGGAACCCCAAAGGAATTTATTAAAAATAATCTCTATTTTACTACATATATTAATAATAGGACATAAAGTATGCATCAAATATACAGGAATCGAGCACAAAATATGTTTTATGAGAACAAGCCTACCACCATATGAAAAAAAAAAAATTGAAAGCCCAAGAAGAAAGTTTCTTATGGATAGTCTTGAAAATCCCATCAAATAAATGCGAACGTTTCTTACCCTTAAAAAGCGGGACACCTAAATGCTTCATCGAAAAAAACGTCTCTTTTAAACCAAACTTTCTTTTAATACTAGTAACGCGGCTAGTGGAAATAGACTTAGCAGGAATAAAGCAACTCTTTGTAGAATTAAAAATTAAACCACTAGAATGCTGAAATGTATTAAGAAATTTGAAAAGGATGTTCAGCATTTTAATGGAACAATTAGAGAAAATAATAAAATCAGCAGCAAAGCTCAAATGAGTAATGGGAAAACCACCATTCATTTTATAATTAAGAAAAGGGTGAGACCTGAAAAGAATATTAATACCACGAGATAAAAATTCCACAGCAATGATAAAGAGAGCAGGAGATAAGGGGTCTCCCTGTTTGATACCGTTAGAGGACTTGAAAATGCCATGGGACTTACAATTGATAATAACGGAGAAGTAACAAAACTCAATACAGTTTTTAATGAGATTGATGAATTGCAAATTAAAACTAACAAGTTTTAAATTTTGTAAAGAAATTCCCAATTAAGATTATCATAGGCTTTAGTAATATGCATTTTGAAAATAATATTACCACTAGTAACCCTAACATTTAAATCATGAACTAACACTTGGGCAAGTAACACATTATCAAAAATAGATCTACCTTTAACAAAACTAGTTTGCTCTAAAGAAATAATGTTAGAAAGAATAAGAGCAAGCCTTCCCATAAAGATTTTAGCAATAAGCTTGTTAAAAAAGGTACATAAGCTAATGGGACAAAAATCACTCCAATAATTAGTAGTATTGGATTTAGGAATTAAAGCTATGGAAGTTGAAGTGAAAAAATTAGGGATGGGAGAACCCCCAAAAAAATCAACCACAGCATTAATAAGATCTTCTTTAATGATTAACCATGATTTTTGAAAGAACTTATTAGTAAAACCATCAGGACCGGCGACAGTATCGGAATTCATATCTTTTAAAGTATTCCAAATTTCCTCTTCAGTAGGAATATTAGTCAACATCGTGTTATCTTCATTAGAAACAAGAGTGGGAGTAAAGTAAAATTCAATATTTAACTCTGGACAAAAATTGTTATTAAAAATCTTTTCAAAATAAAGAGCACCCGAAGAAGCTATCTGATCCAGGTCAACAATCTCATTACCATCAAGGTTCGTGAGCATGTGAATAGTTCTGCTGGTTTTATTATGATTAGCAAGTTTATGAAAATAAGAAGTGTTACGATCTCCTTCCACAAGAAATTTGGAGGAAGCTTTTTGCCTCCAAAAAGATTCCTCTTTTTCTTGAAGTTTAAACAAATTTGTTTTGGTAGTATTAAGAGTAGACAGATTGGTAATAGTGGAGTTTTGCATATAAGCCAGATCAACACTATACCTCAGTCTCAACAAGCTTAATATTAGCAAAAATATTTTTAAAGATGCATTTATTCCACCACGTAAGTTTTTGTTTAAGCCTTTTAAGTTTGAACCAAAATCTAGTCATACCACAAACATTGTCAAAGGGGAAAAGAGGAGCTTCCCAATTACTCTTCACAATATTATCAAAGTTATCATCAAGGAGCCACATATTTTGAAGTCTAAAAGGTTGAAAAGTATTGTAGCTAGTAATATACATAATAATTAAAAGAGGAGAGTGATCAAATAAAGTTCTAGTTAGATGCTCAATGTGGGTATTTTGAAAGGAAGAAATCCAATGATCATTAAAGAGGATACAATCCAATCTTTGCCACATAGTGCCCTTATTCTAAGTAAAACCATTACCCGAGAACCCAATGTCATGAAAATTTCAACTTAAAATCAAATCATTGAAATCCTCCATAGCATGAAAATTAGGAGGTTTACCACCAATTCTTTCAGAAACATTAGTAATACAATTAAAATCCCCACCAACCATCCAAGGAGCATTAACGTTGGAAGCAAAAGTAGTAAGTTGGTCCCAATGAACTTTTCTCCCAATTCTACTTCAAGAAGCGTAAACAAAAGAAGCATAACTAGAGACATGATTAAAAGTAACATTAGCAAGAACTAATTGAGGTAAATCTATAAGAACATCTAAAGAAATAAACCGTTTCCAAAAAATCCATATTTTGTTAGTGCAATTAGCAAAAGCCAAATCAAAACCCAAAAATCTTACAAACCGAGTCCAATTTAGCGGAGGAAATAAAAGGCTCAAGCAAAACAATAAGTTGAATATCATTCATCCTACAAAGATTCTTAACTCTATCCTTATATAGAGAAGCACCCACCCCACTAATATTCCAAATAAGAGCTTTAACCATTAATAACAATATAAGATGCTCTAGTGGCCCTAGGGGTATTGTTGGGCGTAACCTTTTTATTCTTGCCTTTCTTTTTGGTTTGAGTTATGAAATCTTCTTCCAATTTTTTAGCCTTGTTACTAGGAGCTGACACAGAATTAATAGTAGAATCTTTTAGACATTCCATAGGTAAGAAAATGTCAATGGAACCAATTTCTCCTTCTTCCATAACATCAAAGTTTTCCTCCACATCCTTAGAATTTGGCTCATGTTCGCTATCATTTATCCCACCATTAACTTGAAGAGTAGCTAAATCAGTAGGAATATTGTTTAGGGATTGAAGATCCCTATTGTCCTCCTCCAAAAGAGAATTAACAATCAGAATATTAGCAGTAGGATCATCTCCCTTTATCATCTCAACTTCATTTTCACCCATAGTATTAGGAGTAGGGAAGTGTTATGATCTCCTTCCACAAGAAATTTGGAGGAAGCTTTTTGCCTCCAAAAAGCTTCCTCTTTTTCTTGAAGTTTAAACAAATTGGTTTTGGCAGTATTAAGAGTAGATAGATTAGTAATAGTGGAGTTCTGCATATAAGCCAGATCAACACTATCCACCTCAGTTTCAGCAAGCTTAATATTAGCAAAAATATTTTTAAAGATGCATTTATTCCACCACGTAAGTTTTTGTTTAAGCCTTTTAAGTTTGAACCAAAATCTAGTCATACCACAAACATTGTCAAAGGGGAAAAGAGGAGCTTCCCAATTACTCTTCACAATATTATCAAAGTTATCATCAAGGAGCCACATATTTTGAAATCTAAAAGGTTGAAAAGTATTGTAGCTAGTATTATACATAATAATTAAAAGAGGAGATTGATCAAATAAAGTTCTAGTTAGATGCTCAACGTGGGTATTTTGAAAGGAAGAAATCCAATGATCATTAAAGAGGATACAATCCAATCTTTGCCACATAGTGCCCTTATTCCAAGTAAAACCATTACCCGAGAACCCAATGTCATGCAAATTTCAACTTAAAATCGTATCATTGAAATCCTCCATAGCATGAAAATTAGGAGGTTTACCCCCAATTCTTTCAGAAACATTAGTAATACAATTAAAATTCCCACCAACCATCCAAGGAGCATTAACGTTGGAAGCAAAAGCAGTAAGTTGGTCCCAAAGAACTTTTCTCCCAATTCTACTTCAAGAAGCGTATACAAAAGAAGCATAACTAGAGGCATGATTAAAAGTAACATTAGCAAGAACTAATTGAGGTAAATCTATAAGAACATCTAAAGAAATAAACCATTTTCAAAAAATCCATATTTTGTTAGTGCAATTAGCAAAAGCCAAATCAAAACCCAAAAATCTTACAAACCGAGTCCAATTTAGCAGCGGAAATAAAAGGCTCAAGCAAAACAAGAAGTTGAATATCATTCATCCTACAAAGATTCTTAACTCTATCCTTAGATAGAGAAGCACCCAGCCCCCTAATATTCCAAATAAGAGCTTTAAACATTAATAACAATATAAGATGCTCTAGTGGCCCTAGGGGTATTGTTGGGCGTAACCTTTTTATTCTTGCCTTTCTTTTTGGTTTGAGTTATGAAATCTTCTTCAAATTTTCTAGCCTTGTTACTAGGAGCTGACACATAATTAATAGTAGAATCTTTTAGACATTCCATAGGTAAGAAAATGTCAATGGAACCAATTTCTTCTTCTTCCATAACATCAAAGTTTTCCTCCACATCCTTAGAATTTGGCTCATGTTCGCTATCATTTATCCCACCATTAACTTGAAGAGTAGCTAAATCAGTAGGAATATTGTTTAGGGATTGAAGATCCCTATTGTCCTCCTCCAAAAGAGAATTAACAATCAGAATATTAGCAGTAGGATCATCTCCCTTTATCATCTCAACTTCATTTTCACCCATAGTATTAGGAGTAGGTTCCTCATCACCATCAGTATCGACACACATAATAAATTGTATTCCATCTTCCATTTTTTTTCAACAAATTTTCATTTCCATTAGAGATACCTAAAGGATTAGACTCTGTGTCATTTTACATAGTGTAAGGCTTCATAACAAGAGGATCAAAATTGTTTTCCCCCAAAGGAATAGAACTTTCAAGCACATTCGTTTCTCCAACATTAGGAGCAGCCACGGTTTTTGAAATAAAATTGTACTTTTTTAATTGGGGATGAGCTACAAAACAGTCATGTAAAGCATGCCCGTGAATTTTGCAATGCAAACAAAAATATGCAACTTTTTCAAAATCAACTTTTTGTAAGTACCCAAAATTTTCAGAATCAATCCATATGTCTTTAGGGTGTTTCTTAGTGATATCGATTTCCACAAGAACCCTAGCAACATAGTGTCGTGATCGGTTTGTTGTGGCCTGGTCAGTTTGTAGAGGGCGGCCAAATATGGATCCTAATGCATGGAGAACATGAGAATTAAAAAATGCAATCATAAATTAGGGAAAGAGATCCATATATGAACAATGGGAGATTCTTCTTTGACATTAAAAAATGGAGTCCATTTGAGTAACCTCATTTGACAATTAAGGATATAATAAGTTCTCCTAGAAAACACTCTAGTATAATAAAGATCAATCGATAACTGTATGGAAACATGTATAGCATCAAGCAAGCCAATGGAGCAATTCCCAGATATTTTCAATTTAGCAAAAAAATTTCTAATCGCATCCAAATTAGGTCGCCTAACAGAAATTTCCCGACCAACATAAATTGATACGGACTAGCAAGTTTTAAAATGTCATCTTCCGACATCAAGAGCGTCGAAAAACCTTTAACAGTAGATTTAGTGAAAGAGATTACCAGAAGATTAGAAGAAGAAGGTCCTGCTAAAACATCTCGGAAAGAATGAGATGTAGAAGAAGAAATAATAGATCCAGCCAAACCTTTCAATGAGACAGCCGTATTTGATGGCGGAGCACCCCACGCACCTGGAGTTGAAGAGGTCGTACCCTTCTCCATTATGAGAAGAGAACAACAAAAGGCCAAAAGGCCAGAGCAAAATGAGCAACCAAGATGTAGCACAATGATCTAGGGCCGAGAGCGAAGGAAGACCGATAGGAAGATGAGAGAGCAGGAAGGCCGCAGAAATCGCCCTCAGAGATGCCAGAGCCCAGAAAAACCCTAGCGCAAACCAAAGAGGAATTATCCCTAGATGAGTTATTTTTTTATCCCTTCTTCAGGTTTGTCAGACTATGATTGTCCTTCTAAGGAATTCAGAAAGAAATCATCTTCAAAGAAGATTTATTCTTTTGGACTTATTTACTTTATAATAAATAATTTTATTTAGGAGTTTCAAAACTTTATACAATTATAACTCTTTACAAATTTATTTTTAAATATAAAATAAAAATACTCTATGTTTAAATAGTTGCAACTTAGTTTTTTAATTGATGATATTCTTGCAACATGTATGTTTTTATGATTCTAAATAATATTGTTTTAATTACAATTTCTCCTAACATATTTTAGATGTATTGTTTCATTGTTTGTGTGTACTAACATTTCAGGAAAATCATACTCCGGATTGTTGAAGACTTTAAATCAGATCAGTTTAGAGTTTATTGTGTACGAAGTCTGTATTTTTAATTTTATTGAGTCTAAGAGAGTGTGATTATAATTGAGTAACTGTGTACACACATATCGGGGGAGTGTTTTAAATTTGTAATTTTTAAAACTAATCGTACTGTATGAACTCAATTCGTACGAGATGATTTGTTCAGTTATTTTTCCATTCAAGTAGTCAAACGAACATAAGGCAGAAAACTTTTAAGTATGGATCATATTATACGATATCACATTCGTACATACGCCATCCAGTGTACGAGTTAGACGGATCCCTTTTCATATCGACAAACTTGAAAATTTTTTGAACGGTTCGTATCGTATGATGTCATCATCGTAAGTACGTCGTTTAGTGTACGAGTTGGACGGGTTCCTTTCATCCTGATAACTTGAATGGTTCATACCGTATGATGTCATCATCGTATGTACGCATCCAGTGTATAAGTTGGATGGGTCCGTTTTCATCTTGACAAACTTTTAAATTTTTTGAACTAATCGTATCGTATGATGTCATCATCATACGTATGCCATTATGAGTATGAAAATACAGTGTTCATCTTTGTCCCGACAAAGATGAAAAATTTTCTAACTGTTCATACAGTTCAAACTTGGTTCGTACTGACGATCATCATGTACAACATCATTTCATAAAGATTCACAACAGGTTTGTACGCAACAGTTTTTGAACTATTCGTATGTAAGAACATACAATCATACTTTACGATCGTACACGCTCAAAATTGAAAATTTCAGTTTTATGGACGGTTTTTCATGTCTTACATATAAATGTTCTTTTAAACTGAATTGTAAAGAGTTCTTCTTCGTGATCTTTTAAGAGAAAGTGAAAGAGTGCATTTGGGAGAGTATTTGAAAGAGATTTTTTGCAAGAGAAATGTGAATGGTTCACAAGGTTACTCAAAGGTAAGGATCTTTTTGTGTTTTTAGTTTTACTCTTCCTTTCTTCTTTTAAGTTGCTCGAGGGAAAGATCTTTGAAGTAAGATGAGGGTACTCTGCCAACACTTGGAGGGTGTGAATAGACCACGGTACTCTAATGACACTTAGAGGGTGTGAATAGATGATGGTAATATGCTGACACTTAGAGGGTGTGAAAGGATGATGGTACTCAAATGACACTTCAAGGGTGTGTGAAAGGATGAATGCACTCTGCCGACACTTGGAGGGTGTGAACAAATGAAGGTTCTCTATCGCACCAGGGATTGGTGGGATAGAGTTTGTGTAAAGGCTTCTCCGCCTTACTATGGAGGCAAAAGGAGAGTCACTTTGGTAATAGTGCAATACCTAAAGAGAGAGTCTTCAGGGAGTGGATGTAGATCGTATTTGACCGAACCACTATAAATCTGTGTCTTTTAATTTCTACATTTATTTATTGCACTTTGATATTTGTGGTTGAAAAACTTTTTCAAAAATATAATCATTTTTAAAATTAATTTAAAATGATTTTCTATTAAAAATATATGAAAAATTTTAAATTACCAATTCACCCACCCTCTTTGTTAGCCTTAGGACAATAGCTTAGGTTTAACAACCTATACGAAATAAACACTCTACACCTGCAGGTATTAGTATACTTGTAGTGCATTTATCTAATATCATATACATGCCACAACATATAGTGTAGGAAATTAAAAACTCACATCATCGCACATCCACCATAATATTATTCCATAATCAATAAAGTGAAGGAAAAGTAAATAAACACTCCACAAAACACTTCCACCATTTAAGCTAGAGTTGGTTATAATATCAAAAAATTCTATGTGTGTGCTAAGTTGTGTGGTTTAGTTCTGTCATAAATGGATTAAAGTTTGAATTATCTACAAATAAAATTGATTTGTTACAAGCTTTAACTATTTAGTTAAAATTAAAATTTTAATGATTTATCATTTATTAATGCATTTTATTTATTTAAGTATTATTATTAGCTTTAGGTTTTGAAGAACTATGTTAATTAGCAACTTCAACCAATTTTAAGTTATTAATTAACAATTCCTAGGCTTTAAGAATGAATGCATCGGTTTAATTCCAAAAGAATGAGAAACACCTAAAGCCAAATTTGCTTAATTATTTTTTTTAATATTTTTTTATTTTATTTAATTGATTTAAATGATTTACTAAATTGATTTAATTGAGTTTTATTTAAGGATTTGATTTATTTGAATTAAGATAACTAGATATTTATTTACAGAATTCTAAATTCTAATTTTTATTGGTTAATTTTAATAATTTTAATTTTTTTTAATTTTTATTTTATTTCAAAATAAATTTCTTAATCTATTTAATTTTTATACCCAGTGATGCCAAATATCATGAAATTTCCACCATAAATTATTAATAACCTAAAATGAAACTCTTGAAAATTTTGAATCATTTTGATTTATATTTTAATTTTGATGATTTTATTTATTATTAATTTATGTTTTTTTTTGTTTATTAGAACTATTTAAAGGAATTTATGATAGGAATTTTGTTTTTCCTTTATTATACTTTTGATTTTATGAGTGGACTTATTTCTATTTTTATTTTAAATTTATTTTTAATGATTTATTACTATTCCTTTTTTTTAGATAAAACTCAATAACAAACTTATGGGTTAATTAAAAAAAAAAAGGTTACAAGTTTTTAGGAGGATTTTTAGCTCGCAACTACTCGGAAGAGCTACAAAATAGGTAAAACGAAAACCTAAGAGTCGAAAGTCCCCTCTAAGAACCAATACAAAAGAAATCTTAGTCAAATTCAAGGTCAACCAGGAGCCCACACCCAAATGAAAGAGATCCAAAATTAGTAATCCACCCAATCATCCTGTAAAAGAAATTTCCTACAAAAAATTGCAGCAGGCAATGTAACTGTAAAATGGTATATTTGAAAAGGCAAGAGATAAAACATAAAGGAATAAATGCAAAGGTAAATAGCAATGTTGAGGGAGCACAATCCATATCTATAATCACCTTACACCGGGTAGAACCAAGAAGTATAACATCAGTATACTATAAGGCACAAATGAGTAAAATGGTGTTAAGGATATCACTAATAAAATCACAATTAATAAGAATATAGGTAATCTAATTATGCATAGTTACATTCCTGAACATCCTCGTCCACCCATAAAATAATGAAAATCCAGAACAACAACAAACCCTAGTAGCAACCGCACGATAAGGCAGACAAAAAATAATCCACCTAAATAGGCCATGAAGACTAGACAACCCAAAATTAGAAAACCGAGGAGAGAGTTCACACATAAGAAAAAAAACAACATCACAATTACCATAATAAAATCAAGTAGCACAGAATCGAACAACTCAAGGATAAAAGGCTTAGAAAAGACCCTGGAATCCATAATAAATCCAATGTAGAAATGATGTGGACTAAATAAGCACAATAGTAGATAGCTCCAAGGTAATATTAAACATGAGAAAACCAAAATTTTTTTAAAAAGTGTCACCCATAATAGGGAAGGGTGAGATGAAAAGTAACTTGATTATCTACAATTACTATCCCAATGAAAACTATCCTCCATAGCAAAATAACAACATAACCTTGGAGATAAAAATAGAAAAGGTTATCCATCCATTTACAAAGCCAAGCTAGGAACATAAAATAATAAAATGGAAATAATAACAAAAAAGCCCAAATCACTAAGCCAATATAAGCAAAGAGTCCAAACCCAAGTCACAATAGAGGTGTGAAACAAACTACAATAGGTTGGGTAAACTAGCTCAGGAATGTGGTATCTGCTAAAATATCATGCAAATAACTTAAATGCTACTTGAAAACTATCAAAAATTGATACAATAATAGTAGGAGAAAATTATAGTGAGGAAAATCACTATCTTAGTAAAATAAGCAACAAAGGGTAACTTACCAAACCAGAATGAACTCAGAGATGTTAATAATAGAGCAATAGAAAAATTTCACAACTAGATAGTTCACCACCACCTAATACTTCATATAAGAAGAACAAAGAAGCATTAGATTATATATCAGAAAACTAATACTAGCACACACAAGGAAATCTGTACAACAACAAGACACAGCCTTGTAATACCAAGTACAAATACAACAATGAAGTTACTATAGCTAAAGACTAAAATCTTTCTATTGGCATGTAAAGGATGAGATGCACAACAAATAAGTATAATATTAATAGTAAAAAAATTACAATCACGGCTAGTAACAACCCAACAAGAATAAGGTGGTAGGATAAAAACCAAGAGGTAGGATAGAAGAGAAAGACAAACAAGAAGCATTAGAGAGTAAATATAAATAGTTGAACAAATGGCTTCAGAATCATGAAAAAAAAACACCCAAAAAACATAAATTATCAACAAGGAACAAAAATACATAGCTAAGAAAATCCACCACATATGGAGAAAAGCACCACAAAAAGAGGGTTAAGTTCTAACATAGGGAAAACCAATTTTATGTAGCCTAACATAGGCTTTCATGATAGCATGTACGGTATCATAAGTAAATTCCATGAGGGAGGTAATAGTACAAAAATAATTAGCTAACCAATCTGCACAAGTATTCCCTTCTCTGAAAATATATGAAATTTGAAACTTAAAAGAGTACAAAATTAACTTAATGTATCAAAGAAGATAGAAAATGTTAGGATTATCAATATAGGTATCACAATC